TATTTATACTATGTCATATAAAATAGTTGTTCGCTGTTTATCCAAGAAATATTTTGTTTTTATCTACATCAATAACCTTTTATGATATATGCTATAACTTTAAACCATTACGCAAGTTTACAGAAACTAAATTGATATCAATCCATATTTGGTATACAAATAAAACAAAATTAGTAATTTAATTAATTTATTCTAAGACAAATCCTGGATGAGTTGCTGTCCCCAGCTATCGAGTTGTCTCTCCTAGATGGGTTGCTGTTCCCAGCTATCTAGAGTTGTCTCTCCTAGATGGGTTGTTGTCCCCAGCTATCTAGAGTTGTCTCTCCTAGATGGGTTGTTGTCCCCAGCTATCTAGAGTTGTCTCTCCTAGATGGGTTGCTGTCCCCAGCTATCTAGAGTTGTCTCTCCTAGATGGGTTGCTGTCCCCAGCTATCTAGAGTTGTCTCTCCTAGATGGGTTGCTGTCCCTAGCTATAGAGTTGTCTCTCCTAGATGGGTTGCTGTCCCCAGCTATCTAGAGTTGTCTCTCCTAGATGGATTGCTGTCCCTAGCTATAGAGTTGTCTCTCCTAGATGGATTGCTGTCCCTAGCTATAGAGTTGTCTCTCCTAGATGGGTTGCTGTTCCCAGCTATCGAGCCTAATCTGTCTGGATGTTAAACATTTCGGTTTAGCAACCATGATTTAAACCAACCAATCATGAGTTTAACCGACCAATCATGAGTTTAACCGACCAACCATGAGTTAAACCGACCAACCATGAGTTTAACCGACCAACCGGGAGTTTACCAACCCGACCACGCTAAGGAGCATATCGATATTTTTTATGTGTTTATCTTAATGTTTTGTGAAATGTGATTCTCCTTTTAAACGCATTTAATGTCGTAATTTGCACCGTATCGTCAATACTTTATCAGATCATGTTTAAAAATACTTAAATTACACATTTTAATCATTAAATGTAATAATTTAAAAATAAAAGATAATCGTTAATTGTGATTAAAGATTTGGAAAAAAATTGAATTTTGAAAAAAAAAAATCTTTTATCAACCAGTTATGCCGGGTCAATGGGTTTTAATCAAACGGTGGTCACAGTGTGTCTGATCGTCTCCCCTAGCTCGGGCGGGTGCTAGTCTCCCCTAGCTCGCTCACATCGCTGGAGGAAATAGAGCCGGGCATGATGGTTTCCACGAAATTAGAGTTCCATCTCTTCTCACTATGTCGGCAGACGATACAAACCAGACGATTGTCGGACGAATCACACGCTTCTCTCTTGTCGTTATGTAACGGTCGCCACAATATGGCTAATTAATTCATCGATTTGTTAGCTCGTCTGTGGTCAGTTCAGCTAAATATGGGGGTCAGTTCAGCTAAATATGGGGGTCAGTTCAGCTAAATATGGGGGTCAGTTCAGCTAAATATGGGGGTCAGTTCAGCTAAATATGGGGGTCAGTTCAGCTAAATATGGGGGTCAGTTCAGCTAAATATGGGGGTCAGTTCAGCTAAATATGGGGGTCAGTTCAGCTAAATATGGGGGTCAGTTCAGCTAAATATGGGGGTCAGTTTAGCTAAATATGGGGGTCAGTTCAGCTAAATATGGGGGTCAGTTCAGCTAAATATGGGGGTCAGTTCAGCTAAATATGGGGGTCGGTTCAGCTAAATATGGGGGTCAGTTCAGCTAAATATGGGGGTCAGTTCAGCTAAATATGGGGTCGGTTCAGCTAAATATGGGGGTCAGTTCATCTAAATTTTGGGTTGGTTTTAAAACTAGGCCCAGACTAAAAGTGATGTTTTATCAAAGGAAGAAACGTGACAATGTCATTAGCGACGTATTAGAACGTCAGTAGCCATGGTGTCCACGTACACTGAGGAGGGTAGAAGATCAGATCCAGACGACAGCAGCCAGAGAATACAAGACTCTCAAAGCCCGAGACTTAGGTCAGTCATCAGATACCGAGAGCTGGCTGTCATTAGAAATACGAGGGGATTCTGTCCGATTACACTAAGGACAAGCTGACCAACAAATTAGTGACACGACAAAACTTCACTTTCAATGAAGCACAAACACACATTTTTGTCACTATCTGTGACATCTCTATTTGTTGTCACTATCTGTGACATCTCTAGTTGTTGTCACTGTGACATCTCTAATTGTTGTCACTATCTGTGACATCACTAGTTGTTGTCACTATCTGTGACATTTAGTTGTTGTCACTATATGTGGCATCTCTAGTTGTTGTCACTATTTGTGACATCTCTAGTTGTTGTCACTACCTGTGACATTTCTGAGAGTCTAATGCAATGCGTTTCCCGCTAGACCACTCCGTCCCATAAAACAACAAGACTATCAATGCAAAAATGTACAAAAATCAACATATTTAGTTATTTTTTTAAAAAGTTAGCAATATAGAAAATCTAGCTCTCTGCCGCTAGACCACTCCCTCCCATAAAACAACAAGAATATCAATTCGAAAATTTACGAAAATCAAATTTAGGGTAAAGGAGGGCGTTAAGAGCCACACTTTTTAGCACCTGTACATTTTTAAAGATTTCTACTAATCTAAGAATTTTTTAGTATTGAAAATATGGCAAAATTATTCTAACATATCTTACACAATATAAAAATAATAACAAAGTCTATTAAATATACTTTAAATGGGTTTAATTGAACATTTATTGTCATACCCCCAAAATCAGCATTTGGGGTGAAAGGAGCCGGGCAGTGGGGCAATAAGTATTATCTCCTAGTTTAGACTAACTCCGCAATAAAAATAATTAATTTCTAACCCCAAAATAGTTAATGCTGTGTACACACACTTTAACTGATACTAGCTATCACTAGGCCCCAATGGGCCCAGTCTACAATTGATACAATTGCATGTGTACATAGGGCCTAAAGTCTAGTAGTTTACAGTAGGCACATAAGTATGCCTAGTGTGTAGCTAGTATACTAGTGTGTAGCTGTCCAGAGTTAACATTCTTGTATGTAAAAAGGGGTGGTACTAACTAATCTGCCTTAATGCTTTCCCCTGATAAGCCATGTGTGCTATACATTACATAACATGACATGGAGGTGAGAAATGTTGAGGGGAGAGCAGTGGTACTGGTTTCCCCTTTGTTCTCCTTGCTGGACCCTGAGGGCCATAAATTACATAAGGAGATGCTATCTCTGGTTGGCTGAGATCTAAGAACTTAGTCCATGTTACCTACAAAGAGATGAAGTTTTATGGTGGGTTAGATACAGGTGGGGGCTGTGTATCATGGGGGTGAGAAATTGTGAGGGGAGAGCAGTGGTACTGGTTTCCCCTTTTTTTCTCCTTGCTGGACCCTGAGGGCCACAAATTGCATAAGGAGATGCTATCTCTGGTTGGCTGAGATCTAAGAACTTAGTCCATGTTACCTACAAAGAGATGAAGTTTAATTGTGGGTTAGATCATGGAGGTGAGAAATTGTGAGGGGAGAGCAGTGGTACTGATTCCTCTTTGGTCTCCACCCTGCTAGACCATTAAGGTCATATGTTACATAACATGCCACCACAGATTGTCTGAGATCTGTAACTGTAATCCATGTTACCTACAAAGAGATGAAGTTTTATGTGGGCCAGAAACTGGTGGGGGCTGGGTATCATGGGGGTAAGAAATTGTAAGGGGGGGAGCAGTGGTATTAATGTGTCTGTTTACTTCCATGCTGGACCATGAGGGTCATAAATTACATAACATACCACCCCAGATTGGCTGAGACCTAAGAACATTTATTCCTGTTACCTACAAAGAGATTAGAAATTTTATGGTTGGTTAGAAACAGGTGGGGGCTGAGTCGGCTGTATTGCCCCTTAGGGGTAATAAGTACTCATACCATTTTAAAAATTACCTTGCTAACATGAGATGACTGAATTTTTACTTTTTAGCAGGTTAGAATAGTATTTCTATCATTTAGACACAAGTCTGTTTAACAATTAATACATTTTGTGTTAACTATTCCTATACCAGTGTCATATTCAGTGGTCTAATAAATGAGAAACTTGCACATAGGGTTTCAAGAGCCACATAACAGTATCTGTTATAACTTTTCTAAACAGGCAAGCTAGTGAACAAAATGAATGTATTCATGTAGATTTAGTTATTATCTAACAAATAAAACCATTATGGTAATGATCAGTCAAGTTTTACTCTGATAATGATAAAAACTTTATAGCATGGTAAAATGGGACTAATGTCGGCCATTTTGTTTTGGCACCAATAATCACTGTGCAAAAAAAATTCACCAAAATAAAACTTTTCTAGCCATAGCTATAAAAATAGTGTTAAAATGTACAACAACCAATACTCTAATACAGGAACAAAGAATGGGCTTGAAAAACTCATTTGGTTTATTACAAAGTGAAGTTTCCCAAGTTATGTCTATTTGGAAAAAAAGTTCACAAAATGGTTTTATGGAGATGAGAAATTTTAGGGAAAGAGCAGTGGGATTAAATCTTGTCTCATCCTCTCCCTATTGGACCAAATGGGTCATAAATTACATAAAATGAATCCTCTGCTTCTCTGTTATCAAAGAACAGCAGTGGTTGTTACCTCAGAAGTAGATTAGCAGTGTTATTGGGGGTTTTGTGGGGGTGGGGTGTTGATTGGGGCTTAATACCACATGGCTCTTAACGCCCTCCTTTACCCTAATTATTTTTTAAAAGTTATCGTGACTTATAGTCGGTCTTCTTAACGGCTTGCAAGATCTATGTTGCATTTATGTGCGCAAAAAATGTAGTGACATAGACTAGATGTAGACTATAGATATAGATCTAGATTTAGGCCCTAACAGAAAATTAGTTTTTCTAGATCTAGAATCTAGATCTAGAATCTAGATCTAGACCCTAGGCCTTTTTCGTACTACGCGTTCAGAAAAGAAATGTGTGCGTTTGATTTTTTTCACACGTGACGCAACTATATCTACCAATCAAATTGCATACTTCTATCATGTGATAAGTCAGTCACGCCTCCTGTCACATTATCAGGGACGCCATTTTGTAAACTCAAGTGAAGAAAATGTCCTGCACACGACCCTAATATTATTGTTTTCAACTTTTGCACGTGGGTAACTTTTTTCATTACGGTCATACCGGCAACGATGCCGAACTGCCTACCTCTGATATTGTATCATATTTTAACCCTAACTTACCAAAGGATACCATATTATATCATGATTTTTAATAGTGCCATGCGCAAAGCTAGACTTCTAGATATCCTCCACCATGATTATAAGACACTGGAAATCTGTACCTCTCGCACAAACCAAAACCTACACTACTCACTACAACTTTGAACTTGGTCATCTAGATCTAACCCTTCTGTCTAGATCTCTAGATCTAAATCTAGAATCTACCTACACTACGCAACGCACTGTTTGATTTCCATTCTTATTCGTAGATCTAGACTAGAATCTATATTCGGTAATCTATCGTTTTGGGTACGTAAAATCGCCCGCGATTTGTAATGTGAAAAACAGGTGACTCCTTAAATTTTAATAATTATTTCACATTTTGAGGAGGATTTATGTTTTTAAAAATTCAAAAATGTTTCTTTGATTCATTTATGTACCTGTTTTTAAACAATTGAATTAAAACTTTTCCGTAATAAATGAAGACTAGCGATGTTTCCAACAGATGCAACCATGCTCATTTACTATAGCAGCCATCTTGTCGAAGTTTTATTTTTATAAGCTTTTAGCGCCAGATTCAGGGGGAAGCCACTCTATTTTACAAATGGCTGCTGTTTATATAGCAAATCTTGCTCTCAGACACTGCTGTTTAAAGTTAATTTCTGGCCTATATCGATATATTTAGCCATTGATTTAGGTTTATTATTCATTTATCTATAATATTTGACACAAAAGTATGACAATATACTTCTATTAAAGCCTTGACAACGAGGTAACGTTTTCGTACATAAATAGCCGCGGGCGATTTTACGTACCCAAAACGATAGATTACCCTATATTCTATGCCTGACAGTGACAGCTGGAGCAAATCTTCTAATCTAGGCTAGAATTTTTCTTCAGTTTTGGAGTAAAGAGTTTATCATTCATTTATCAATGATCTGATAATTGTTTAAAATTAAATGTAGGCTAATGTTACACTACCACTAATGAATGTATGTAGATCTAGAGAATCTAGTAAATGTAGACTTTTTTTTGCAGAGGGATCTAGATCTAGATTTCTAGATCAGTATTCTATTAGTTTAGATGTTGATGCTAGATACTATTCAATGAACTAAAGATTAAGAATATTGCAGAAAATCTATTCCAGGCCTAGATCTAAGTAAAGACAGTAAAGTAAGTTTAATAAATTTAAAAATTACAATCTAGTTACTAGACTATTTATTATTGTGAAAATAAATTATCGAAGTATTAGGGCTATTCACCGTTGTGACTGTTTTTGATATTGTAATAATTTTGTTCTCTTCTGTTTCTCGCTCTTAAGTCTTAGGGGTCGTCCATAAATGACGTCAAACTCGTAGGGGGAGAGGGGGTTCCGTAATTTTGTGACAGTGTGTGATGAGGGGGGTAAGATGGTGCACCGTCACACTTTTGCATTAAAAAAAGCGATGTTAGAAAACGAATTTTAGACGTTATTTCACGTTTTAGAAAACTGTTTTAGTAAATTGTATTAGGAATTGATTAAAATACTCTATTTTGACAGAGTTCAGACAAGATTTTAGAAAAATATCGATGTTTTAAAATAATTCAACTGCAATTTTGAGTGGGGTTGTAGGCTGAGGTGTGATGTCATTTTAGGGGGGGGGGTCTGGCTTTTTGTGACGGAGGGGAGGGGGGAGGTAAAGAATTGTCCAAAAAAGCGTGACGTCATTTATGGATGACCCCTTACTCTCAGTCACCAATGATGAAGAATGAGTCGTCTTCTGCAAATCTTTCTTGACCGAGAGTTGTCTGTGTGTAGCGCGCGTCTTAAAAAGACTAGCGCCAACACGCATGCTGCATAAAGTAGTGGCTAGGGCCGTCATTTCTCCCTCCCCTCTAAGGCTAAGCTGCTGGTGTATATACCCCACCCGCGAGCTTCTTGGATGACACCTTGCTGTGGGCATGAATTTTAGCGCTTACCTCTGAAAATTTCCCCTTCTTTTGTGCTAACCTACCCCAAATAACTCTATATAAAAACTTAACGCGATCTCCTAAAATTCTAATAACTTATCATCTGAAACCACAGACTTCACGAGGATACAAATAACATATAACATCAATAAGTTGTTCTTAAAGAATAATACATCAAACCTGCAAATAACGTTAAAATATAATCAAATACACCTAATTAAAGTAGATTTCCATATCGGCTTGCTCCTAACTAACACTAAGATTAAACATCAATTATAATTATCAAAATACAACATAATGTTCAAATAAAACAAACAGAAACTGATTCCATTGTAATATCAATTAACATGAAGCTTTTACAGTCTTGTTATACATTTGTTATATCCACGGTCCTTCTGGTTAGATCTGTACATCTTATAATTTCAGTTTTCCTGCGGTATGTTCACAGACCGAACCATGAGCATAATTGAAATGGTTCTAAAACCTCAATATGGTTCTAGCTCAAAGTTAAACTGTATCTACTTACATTTCGTTAGAACAAATTCACATCCAGGAATTTAATAAAAACATCCGATTTTTTTTAAAAAAATCACAACGTGTCGTAATGATCCAGATCATTATTTAAGTATTCACACTCTATTTAAGTAATTCAGAACACTATTTTAGGAATTCACATGGTATCAAAATAATCCAGAACACAGTCTATACTCATCATTTTAACAGGCTCTATTTTGTTAATCCAACAGTCGACGAGGTCATTTGATTTCTCGTTGGGATCTTTTGTTTCCCCCCGCGTCGTTATGTGTAGTAACCGTTAGTTATTGGCAGGTTTCATTAGCCCCATGATCATCGCCTTTCTCCGACAGCTGACTCTCTATGTCTTGACCTTTGTCGCCTGTCTCATCGTCCGTTGAGTATTCCGACAGTTGAGGTGAACTACCATCATGATGAAGTTTGAGTTGTAAGTCACAACAATCCATTTAGTTGGTTCCCGTTGGTGAAATGGTTTTAATTTGTCGTGGTTCACGACTTTTGTCTTTTTGCCCTTGTTCTCTAACTCAAAGAGAAGGTCACTCAGTTTCCTTATGATGACGTATGGACCTCTCCAGTGTCTGTGAGCAAGCTTCCTACTGACGCCTACCTTCCTTGCCTCCTCCAGACACAACACTACATCTCCAACATTGTAGTCATTGGAGACAATGTTGAGGACGTAGTATCTTTTGCTCCTCTCGTGTAGGCCTCCTGTCTTCTCGACAGGTTGTTGTCTAATGTGACATCTCTTGCAACACTTCACCCAGTCGGTGACTTCATGTTTCATTCTAAACCAAAAATATTGTTCTTGTACCTTGGATAATATGTTTTGAATGTCAACATGTTTGGCGCCCTTGTTATTGTGACACTTGTCTAGAACCTTAGATGTGGCACAATCACCTTTAGTTCTGTCTTCCCATCTTTTGTCACCCACTTCCCCTCTGAAAGTGTCATTCTGTTAAAATCCAGCCAATAATAGCGGAGTTCTCGGCCTTCTGCAGTTAACTCCCTCTGTTCAGGTCTCTATTTTTTCTGCACCCAGGAAATACACTTCTTCAAAATATGATCACCATTTTGTGCCTTCCGTATTTCTTGCTGGTAGAACAGTAGACCCTTCCGCAGAAAGAATAGATCATGTTTCTCGTCTGTAGTAGAAGTTTCCAAATATTGCGGCAACTGGTGAGACTCTGTGTGTACTTTGTGTTTTTCTTGGAACTGTGTCGTTTAAGTTGTAGAAGTTGGACCGCCATCTATGGTCTTGTACTTTGGACACCCTTTCTCTGCCTCTGGTCTGTGTCGGGACCCTTCGACCATTGAGGTATAAGCCATTTTTAGCCAAAAATTGAAACTCCTGTTTCATTATTAGGAAGTCCATCCCAAAGAAACCATCTTCCTCAATTCTTCAATGCCAGCTATGACAGTTCTCCACTTGGTGACAACATTGCCAACTCTCATATCTACTGTACATGTGCCCAGACAGCTTATTCTGTCACCCCCTGCAGATTGCAGTGTAACCTTTTTGTCCATGGCTTGAAGTTTGTTTCTAACCAAATGTGGTAACTTGTTGAAGGCTCTTGATTATTACATTTATTCTTATCAATATCATTCAGGTTGACAATTCAGAGCTTTAACTTCTATTTCTAACAAAATGTAAAATAATGCAAAATCATTCATTTCATTGTGATGAACAATTTTAAGCTCCTTTTGATGAATGCAGATGTATTCTGTTTAAGTTATAAGAGCGAAAATAGGCAAAGAACTGTTGACCTATAAAAGTTGGTCATAGACCTATTAATTTTACTTTTATAATTTACTTTAGCCTACTAGGTAGATTAAACATGACAATGACTCATCATTTCTATGGCTTCCTTTTAATCAATTGGACTGTTTTATAATATTTAGAGTTGCTAAATCAATCTGGCCCTTGATGCTGCTAGTTAATGTGACAGTAACAATGATACAGAAGATCTCTAGTGGAATGAGTTTAGTTAGTTAATGTGACAGTAACAATGATACAGAAGATCTCTAGTGGAATGAGTTTAGTTAATGTGACAGTAACAATGATACAGAAGATCTCTAGTGGAATGAGTTTAGTTAGTTAATGTGACAGTAACAATGATACAGAAGATCTCTAGTGGAATGAGTTTAGTTAGTTAATGTGACAGTAACAATAATACAGAAGATCTCTAGTGGAATGAGTTTAGTTAATGTGACAGTAACAATGATACAGAAGATCTCTAGTGGAATGAGTTTAGTTAATGTGACAGTAACAATGATACAGAAGATCTCTAGTGGAATGAGTTTAGTTAATGTGACAGTAACAATGATACAGAAGATCTCTAGTGGAATGAGTTTAGTTAATGTGACAGTAACAATAATACAGAAGATCTCTAGTGGAATGAGTTTAGTTAATGTGACAGTAACAATGATACAGAAGATCTCTAGTGGAATGAGTTTAGTTTGGTCTACTGCTAGATGTGCCCTAGGTTAGGGAATAACAGTTGACCAGCTTGTTGTTTATTCATCATTAATATGTTTTCTTGTTGGGAGAAGGGCCACTTTTAGTGTTAGACCTCTTTCTCAGGATTAAAATATCTAATCTGTCTTTTTAATTAATTTAAAAGAAATATTTCTGAAACATTACTTTCTGTTTGAGCTGTAGGACTTGAGGGCTGCTTAGTTTCAGAGAAACTTAGCAGAGAGCAAAGTGAAAAAATAGAATAATTTTTGTGTTTCAGGCCTAAAGAAAGTCAAAGAAAATGCAGATAGGAAATATTTTGGTTTGTTCCATGGTTTTGTTTAGTGGATTGATTACATCTGAAAGTCAAAATGGCACAAATCTCCCCAACTGGCATGTACATCTGCATGAGGTAATCTATTTTCACCTTACTTTTTTTGCTCATTTATTTTTTAGTCATTATTATTCTGACATTTTTTCATATTGTTTAGAGCAACAAGAGCTACATAAATCTCTATCATGCTAAGTAAATTTTTTTTTCCCATTTTTTAGGAGGAGGGCGGCAATGTTACGTTTAATGTGACCTTGGATGCCATCACATTAGAAGAAAGCTACTTCTTTATACAGAAACTCTTTGTTAAATATGGTGACCAACATCAGCTCAATCTCACTGGATTTACCAAGCTACTCAACAGTCTAGGCTTAGGGATTCATAGCCATGATGGTAAGTAGGCTTGGTAGACTTGATGGCAGTAAGTTTCAGCTTGATAGCCATGAAGATTCATTTAATGTTGTTACCTTTTGATGTTTTTCTAGCATTTTGTCAAATTCCAAAAGCTTTTGTTCTCAGATCATCACCAACACAAGAGATCACTGGAACAAACCCATGTCCATTCCAGTCATCAGGAGGTATGTTACCACTGCACCCAACAATTCAATGTCTGCACCAGCCTTATTCTAAACAATGATCAGTGCCAAGTCTTTTTCCTTACAAATCAAATAACATTGTAAAACGTGTCCATGTTTTACACAAATGTTGCCTTTGTGTAACTTGTCTGTTTTATGTTTTACATAGATATTGTATTTGTGTAACTTGTCTGTTTTATGTTTTACAAAGATGTTGTATTCTGTGTAGCTTGTCTGTTTTATGTTTTACATAGATGTTGTATTCTGTGTAACTTGTTTGTTTTATGTTTTACATTGTTAATGCTCTGTCCACAGTGTCTGTCAGTGTCAGAAATTTTAGAAGCTTTCCACCTAGCATCACATAAAAGACTTACCAAAGAGGAGTTTGTCTTCTTGTGTCCAGCCTTGCTGCACCAGCTGGACCTGGAAGTCTGCCATCACCACCAGTACCATCAGATGCTTGACGAGCCTGTCCACGCTCAGCCTCAGGCCTACAACATTCACGACATTCCAGCCAAAGGTTCTTGTCCACTTCTCTCAGCCAAAACTTGTCTTTGTTGTCAGCCAAAACTTGTCTTTGTTGTCAGCCAAAATTTGTCTTTGTTGTCAGCCAAAACTTGTCTTTGTTATCAGCCAAAACTTGTCTTTGTTGTCAGCCAAAACTTGTCTTTGTTGTCAGCCAAAACTTGTCTTTGTTGTCAGCCAACAGTTGTCCTTGTTGTCCACTAGTCTTGTATCATTAAGTTTATGCTATTGCTCATGTTTTGCTTGCTGCCATTGAAGGCTGTGTTTACCCTTACAGTGTGGGGATACAGTTTTATAGCAGTGCTGATTATAAGTCTAGTTGGACTGCTGGGTGTGGCTGTGATACCCATCATGCAGAAAGTATTCTACAATCATCTCCTGCAGTTTCTTGTGGCACTGGCCATAGGCGCTTTGTCTGGGGATGCTCTGTTACACCTGTTACCTCATGTAAGTACTCACTCCCATAGTACCAGACTTGATGACACTCCCATAGTACCAGACTTGATGACACTCCCATAGTACCAGACTTGATGACACTCCCATAGTACCAGACTTGATGACACTCCCATAGCACCAGACTTGATGACACTCCCATAGTACCAGACTTGATGACACTCCCATAGTACCAGACTTGATGACACTCCCATAGTACCAGACTTGATGACACTCCCATAGTACCAGACTTGATGACACTCCCATAGTACCAGACTTGATGACACTCCCATAGTACCAGACTTGATGACACTCCCATAGTACCAGACTTGATGACACTCCCATAGTACCAGACTTGATGACACTCCCATAGTACCAGACTTGATGACACTCCCATAGTACCAGACTTGATGACACTCCCATAGTACCAGACTTGATGACGCTGACATTGCTTATAATCTTTAAGTTTTAGGCTGGTGGTATAATTGAGTTGTTCTTTGATTGTAAAGTTTTAGGCGGGTGGTATATTTGAGTTGTTCTCTGATTGTAAAGTTTTAGGCGGGTGGTATATTTGAGTTGTTCTCTGATTGTAAAGTTTTAGGCTGGTGGTATATTTGAGTTGTTCTCTGATTGTGAAGTTTTAGGCTGGTGGTATATTTGAGTTGTTCTCTGATTGTAAAGTTTTAGGCGGGTGGTATATTTGAGTTGTTCTCTGATTGTAAAGTTTTAGGCGGGTGGTATATTTGAGTTGTTCTCTGATTGTGAAGTTTTAGGCGGGTGGTATATTTGAGTTGTTCTCTGATTGTGAAGTTTTTGTTGGGTGGTATATTTGAGTTGTTCTCTGATTGTAAAGTTTTAGGCGGGTGGTATATTTGAGTTGTTCTCTGTACCAGGCTCTGATGGGCTCACATGAGAGCAGCAACTCCACGAGTGAGCATAAACACGAGGGAGACGGCCACGAGCACACACAGGCGGCCTGGAAGGGTTTGATGGCCTTGGGTGGGATCCTGTTCTTCTTCATCACTGAGAGGCTGCTGACCATTGTCACGGTCATCAAAAGGAATAGGAACTCAGAGGTAAGTCATTCAGGCTTGACTTAGATGAAAGCTGTTTGAAATGCTAATCATTCTAGTTTGACTTAATGTAATGTAGTACCAGATGCAAAGAACTTGCTTAGATTTTTGTGTCTGAACCTCCTGCTCACATGGCAGTACAAAGTTTTAGGTGTGTTAGATGTACTATCAGCACTAGCTGTTTTATTTAGTATTGTTGTAGACATGCTTTACTTACTGTAACAGATAGCTGGGCTGTACAATGTTAGCATTAAATTGTACATGACGGGTCTATCTGAACATGACAGGTCTATCTGTACGTGGCTGGTCTATCTGAACATGACAGGTCTATCTGAACATGACAGGTCTATCTGAACATGACAGGTCTATCTATATGTGGCTGGTCTATCTGAACATGACAGGTCTATCTGAACATGACAGGTCTATCTGTACGTGGCTGGTCTATCTGTACATGGCTGGTCTATCTGAACATGACAGGTCTATCTGAACATGACAGGTCTATCTGAACATGACAGGTCTATCTGAACATGACAGGTCTATCTATACGTGGCTGGTCTATCTGAACATGACAGGTCTATCTGAACATGACAGGTCTATCTGTACGTGGCTGGTCTATCTGTACATGACAGGTCTATCTGAACATGACAGGTCTATCTGTATGTGACTGGTCTATCTGTATGTGACTGGTCTATCCATACATAACATGTCTATCTGAACATGACAGGTCTATCTGTACGTGGCTGGTCTATCTGTACGTGGCTGGTCTATCTGTACGTGGCTGGTCTATCTGTACGTGGCTGGTCTATCCATACATGACAGGTCTACCTTTGAATTGTGACAATGTTCTTGTGTTTGCCAGCGTCAGATAAAGAAGAAAAGATGTGAGCAGTTCTGTGCTATTGAGTCCAACAAGGCAGCAGTCGGCTCCAAGCTGAGCCACAGACAGGCCAGTGAGGACGAGTGTGATCGTACAGTCATGCTGGTACACCCAAATAAAGGTACAGCCTTTTTTTTTTTACTACACATCTCACATATTGGAATAGTACATCCAAATAAAGGTACAGCCTTTTTTACTACACATCTCACATATTGGAATAGTACATCTAAAGAAAGGTATATTTTACTAGACATATCACATATTGAAATAGTAAATCTAAAGAAAGGTATATTTTACCAGACATGTGTTAAATATATTGGATTGGTATGCCAGAAAAGGTACAGCTGGATACACACAAATGACAAACGTAAAGGTTCAGAAACCTAAACATTACTTTAAAAACAACCTAAGAAGTCCCAGTTTGTAAAACCAAAATATGAATATTTAAAACAAGTCCCATAATTTTCTACTGGCACACCTTTCCTTATCACAGGAAGTTCAAGGTCTTTGTGTAGTATTGATTTAGTTTATAAATCTTAATAAAACTAATTGAATGACTTCTATGCCGTCATAGAGCTTTATTATTTCATTTGTATCAAGGATAACTGTCTGTATTAGCATGCTACAATATACAAATGGTTGCAAGAAACTCCTGTATTAGCATGCTGCAATAGTCAAATGGTTGCAAGAAACTCCTGTATTAGCATGCTACAATAGTCAAATGGTTGCAAGAAACTCCTGTATTAGCATGCTACAATAGTCAAATGGTTGCAAGAAACTTTAATTTGCAAGTACAAACAAGGTTCATGTGCTTTTGAGAGAAAATTCAAAAGAAGTCTACATATACTCCAGACAGATATTTTCAAAATGCATTACTTGTTAGCAAGCATCTGATTTTCATGATACTTTTTTAACTGACACTCCCACCAATTTTAATGCACAAGAATTGGGGGGGTGGTCTTTTTGCCATACCTGATTTAGTAACCTTTGCAATGTCCTGAAATATATCTTTTTCCCTTCTTAAAAAACTCCAGAATTTTGTTTTAAACATAAGTGGGCCATAAAAATTCTGGCCCAACTTTCTTTCATCACATGCCCAGAAACATCTTGATGTCATTAGGTTGTTGCTTGACTTATTTTTTAAGCTGATTCCTTGATAATGATGGCTGTCAGAAAAGACCAATATATCTTTTTCATTTTTTTACAAAGTTGAGCGGTTATTTCAAAACTTAAGTGTAATAAGTTTTTTATCAAGCAAATTCTACAATACTGATTACATTATAATGATGAATGTTAAGTGTTTAAAATGCACTTTTCATCTGTCGTATATTCATTCATTTCACTAAGTACAAGGTAGTAGAAGATAATGTAAGAACTAACTTCTCATTGCATAAAAATCATTTTCTAACATCCTCAAAACTTTGATAATAACAGGTTGAATATTAAATGCCCTGCCTTAATTAACTTATTTTAATCATTAAAAAAATACCTGGCCCTGAAAAAAATATGTCTGAAAATAATAACTTAATCAAAACAACAGCCAACTTGAAGTCCACCATTTAGCCTTCAGTGTATTCGAACAAGAAGAATTCTAGCAGACAACATGTGTGCTGAACTGTCACAACAACCCTCCTTACTAACTTACCCATCATAACAGTCATAGCATCATAAACATTTTAAAACAAACACTTTTTTTTTTTCAAAAGTCGTTTTCTAGTCTATCGATTAATTTTGATAGTTAAAATTTGTATGAAGTCATTTTCAACACTAGTTAAGATAAAAATCTTAGACAACAACCTAATGTCATAGTACAATGTGTGAGCATACAATGTCCAGCATAGAACCATTTATTATTACCCCAGAGGTCATGGTACAATGTGTGAGCATACAATGTCCAGCATAGAACCATTTATTATTACCCCAGAGTATCAGACAATAGATTGTACATATTTGTGAAATTGCTCCCTTTTTTTGGCCTGCAGGTGTTTTGTACCTTAATTTTCTTGGGTACTTGTTTATATGCCCCATTCCACATACAATTTAAGTAAAATGTGATGAGAGAGGATTTCATGCCTATATAATTTATTGAGTAAATGAAGGATTTCATGCCTATATAATTTATTGAGTAAATGAAGGATTTCATGCCTATATAATTTATTGAGTAAATGAAGGATTTTATGCCTATATAATTTATTGAGTAAATGAAGCAAGGCCCAAAACATTAGGCTAAATAATATGCATTGGACAGGCATTGAAAACTACAAATCGCATATAGTGTAGGTTACCCTATTTTATTGGCTATATCCACCACAGTAAAGATTTATGGCTTTATTACCTGCTTGTAAAATTGTTACAGAAAAAGTGAAGTATTGTTAACTTTTTATGGCAGGCCAACTACAGGCTGTGTTCTGGGAACATGTCATCTGTAAGGGGCATTGTTCTCGGCACATGTTGTCATTTTGTGTGTTCTCTGCATGTTGTCATTTTGTGTTTTCTGGGCACATACATGCCATTTTGTGTGTTCTGGGCACATAATGCCATTTTGTGCACATAATGCCATTTTGTGCGTTCTGGGAACATGTTGTCATTTTGTGTTTTCTGGGCACATACATGCCATTTTGTGTGTTCTGGGCACAAATGCCATTTCTGTGTTCTGGGAACATGTTGCCATTTTGTGAGTTCAGGGAACATGTTGACATTATGTGTGTTCTGGGAACATGTTGACATTATGTGGCTGTGTTCTGGTAGTTCACTTGGGTCACTGTGACCTCTGCTGTTTGCTGGGGTCACTGTGACCTCTGCTGTTAACTGGGGTCACTGTGACCTCTGCTGTTTGCTGGACTGCAAATTGTGAAGGTGCTGTTGTGTTTAGTCCTAATGTTAGTGATTGTATCACATACATTATTTGGCTGTCTTAATTTTCTTTTGTTAATTGTAATTAAGTATGTGGACTGTCTGAAAATGACAAGCTGATTGATTTGACATAATATACAATTAAAACATTTGAACCCTGGTGATTTTCTCAAAACATATCTAAATGTATTAGGAAAAAATCTCTAATCAGGCACTCATCGTTCATGTTTTGACTTGTAACTCCTGTTTGTTATGCTAATCTTTTTGTTGACATGTAATGTAACTCCTGTTTGTTATGCTAATCTTTTTGATTTGATCTGTTTTGTCTTGTTGTTATGGAAACAATGATACCTTGTCAATCACTTTCCTAGATGATAAGCCAGAAGCAAATGGTATGGTTTTTATTCACTTTTTTCTCATAACTCCCTCTTTAAACATGCTGATAAAACAGAAATAAAAAACATCTTTAATATGGCTGCTACTTGTGTGTTGTAAACACATTCTTATCTAGCCACATTTATAGTCTTCTGTCTGGAGAAATAACTCTTAACACTTTATTATGTATGTCTCATATATATATATATATATATATATATATATATATATATATATATATATATATATATATATATATATATATATATATATATATATATATATATAAAATTATGTGTAAAGTATCTAACTTGCTTTTAAATGATTAAATTCCAAATTGAAACAAATGTATTTATGACAAATTTACTTAAATGATATCAAATATTTCCATTCTTAATTGTCCATCCCTGACAACCCACATCTTACCCTTGGTTACACACCCACAAATAATAAACAGAACATAAAATTTAAAGTTGTTTAAGATTGACCCAGCTAATTAAAACCCAATTATCATCAGACCCTCACCTTTTCACCCCCACCCTAACTCAAGTAAACACTAAATGTGATACTTAAACTACAAGACATGAGATCTATTTATAGAACTGAGTTTTTGAATCTAGCCCTATAACCAGTGTATCAACATTTCTTGACCTTGTATTTTGGGTCTTCCAGCCTTTATTTTATTCCCTTTGTGCCACCAAGGACCTTAGTCTTTAACATAAGGGTTTTACTTTCTACATCATTTTTATTGTGTGGGTGTGTGGGTGTGTGATCACAAGGACCTTAGTCTTTAACATAAGGGTTTTACTTTCTACATCATTTTTATTGTGTGCATGTGTGGGTGTGTGATCAAACCTTGTTACTAAGTGTATATTGAGACTGAGGTTTCCAGACTAATGCATCAATGAAACCAGGAGAGATGTTCTCTTGTAATTAAAGCTATAAAGATGCATCAATGAAACCAGGAGAGATGTTCTCTTGTAATTAAAGCTATAAAGATGCATCAATGAAACCAGGAGTGATGTTTTCTTGTAATTAAAGCTATAAAGACCATAATACAGATGGCTGAAGGTAATGAGTACAGGGAGATAACTGGGTGATAGGAATCTTGCTGGACAGGGCCAACTAGTATTTCAATTTACTATTAGGATTGTGTCTGTATGTTAATACTAAATATTAGAACATGAATGGTCAATACAAAACTTGATAACAACAACCTTTAAAATGCATGAACAGTAAGAAGATAATGGTACATTCTCAGTCTAATAGTAAATGTGTCTCTGGCTAAAAATTTAATGTGTGAAACAGTGATAGAGCAAGGAATGTTTTTATCTTTTGATCAAATGAAAATCTTTGAGCTAAAACTACACAAGTCACAAAATAAAGACTTAGAGAAAAGAAATTGGCCATACCCATGGAGTGAATGAGCACTGGAGAAATGGAGTGAATGAATGAGGCCAATATGTTAGTGAACTGTTTGTTGTCTAGCTACTTAGAAGGTTTTGGCCAATATGTTAGTGAACTGTTTGTTGTCTAGCTACTGACAAGGTTTTGGCCAATATGTTAGTGAACTGTTTGTTGTCTAGCTACTGACAAGGTTTTGGCCAATATGTTAGTGAACTGTTTGTTGTCTAGCTACTGAGAAGGTTTTGGCCAATATGTTAGTGAACTGTTTGTTGTCTAGCTACTGAGAAGGTTTTGGCCAATATGTTAGTGAACTGTTTGTTGTCTAGCTACTGAGAAGGTTTTGGCCAATATGTTAGTGAACTGTTTGTTGTCTAGCTACTGAGAAGGTTTTGGCCAATATGTTAGTGAACTGTTTGTTGTCTAGCTACTGAGAAGGTTTTGGCCAATATGTTAGTGAACTGTTTGTTTTGGTATTTTAAGCCAGGTAAGTTGCTGCCAGTGGTTATGCTACATATATTCAGAGCTATGTATATCTCTATATCCTAACCCTGTCTCACTAGCCTACTATTTGTATTCCCATAACTATCACGTTTATTTTATTATCTTTAAGAGACTGCTTTCAACTAATGAAACAATTCCTTTTTAAAAGCAGCAAATAATTAGTCCTAAATTTTTTTCCTATATTCACTATTAATAATATATTAAGTCATAAAGTTAAACCTTAGTCAAGCTTTATTATAATGTATGTTTTTGGCTTTTTTTTTTTTTTTTTGGAAGATCCTCTCTTTGTTACATGGCAAATGGCTTCCGTAAACGTGGTGTATCAAGTGTCCAACTTTTGTATGTTTCAGCTCTTAAGAGTTACGCTGACGCAGCCCATGACGAGTTCTTACATCAATGTGACGAGGAACTGGTCCAGACTTCAGGCAAGTCTGCTGACTGTGATGTGGAAACATCCTTGATGGAGTTGAGCACCAAAAACATGGACTCAAACAATGGAGTCAGCTACTCCAAGACTGGGCACTCACACGGTCACGCCCACACTGTACCCAACTCTGTGTCAGCTGTTGCTTGGATGGTCATACTAGGTACGTGGTCGTCATGCTGGGTATATGGTTGTCATACTAGGTACGTGGTTGTCATACTAGGTAGGCCTACGTGTTTGCCATACTAGGTACGTGGTTGCCATACTAGGTACGTGGTTGTCATACTAGGTATGTGGTTGTCATACTAGGTACATGGTTGTCATACTGGGTATGTGGTTGTCATACTGGGTACGTGGTTGCACTGCTGGGTACGTGGTTGTCATGCTGGGTATGTGGTTGTCATACTAGGTACATGGTTGTCATACTAGGTACGTGGTTGTCATACTAGGTACATGGTTGTCCTGCTGGGTACATGGTTGTCCTGCTAGGTACGTGGTTGTCATACTAGGTACGTGGTTGCCATACTAGGTACGTGGTTGTCATACTAGGTACGTGGTTGTCATACTAGGTATGTGGTTGTCATACTAGGTACGTGGTTGTCATACTAGGTACGTGGTTGTCATGCTGGGTACGTGGTTGTCATGCTGGGTACGTGGTTGTCATACTGGGTACGTGGTTGTCATACTGGGTACGTGGTTGCCCCGCTGAGTATGTGGTTGCCATGCTAGGCATGAGGTTGCCATTGTTATGACTGATTCCATGGTTGATGCTAGTGGGTTATCCCCCACCTGATTTGGGACAAACTGTACTTGATAAGAAGGCATTTGTGACCCACCTGGCTGTTGTACAGTCACCTTGACATGATGTGAAGGGAGAGAGGTGGATGCTGTGGAGCCTGACCTGGGGATTCCATAGATAAGACAGTGACCCATTAAAACTGTTTTTTTAGACACACTGGTGCCGATGATTATATTATATAATTGTGGGCTCGATATGGTTCAGTAGTTAATACGTAAATGGCCCTAAAGGCTTAGAAGATAAGTCTTTACTATATACAAGTTGTAATAAGCAGAGGCTGAGAGAATTGCTGGAGTTAAAAGTTAGCCTTCAGAGGATGTAGATGTGTTCCTGTTGTAAGCTATTGTAGGGCTGGCCACCAAAACTGGTCACTGTTGACCACCAATTTTTTCTTCTGCTCTAGTCAAGATTCAAGTTGTTAGAGAGTATTTAGTATCAACAGTCAATAAAGTTGTTAGAGAGTATTTAGTATCAACAGTCAATAAAGTTGTTAGAGAGTATTTAGTATCAACAGTCAATAAAGTTGTTAGAGAGTATTTAGTATCAACAGTCAATAAAGTTGTTAGAGAGTATTTAGTATCAACAGTCAATAAAGTTGTTAGAGAGTATTTAGTATCAACAGTCAATAAAGTTGTTAGAGAGTATTTAGTATCAACAGTCAATAAAGTTGTTAGAGAGTATTTAGTAACAACAGTCAATAAAGTTTTTAGAGAGTATCAATTATCAATAAAGGGTCATCCATTTATGACGTCCACAAAAATTTGGAATTTGTTTATTGAAGATGCTGTAGACCAAACTTTTTAAGGTCATTTGTTGCTGTCTTGCTATCAATGACTACATGGGTTTTGGTAAATGTGACGTCATTATATTGCTTTTACGCAAGTTGCATGTGTTTCCATAACAAACCACCACTGCCCCTTTTGTGTGGTCACAATGAACGTTAGCCCTAGCCGCCTGACCATCGAGCTACACTTGCTTATATCTAAATTGAAAAAAATGACTAGATCTACATCATCTTCGGCTTTGACACACATAATGATGTAGGCCTACTATGATTTAGTTACAGCAGTTTGGAATGTTTAAAAATAAACTTGAAATACCATGATAAATTATTTTAGAAAATTGCTGCGGTCACTGCCCCCTCCCCCTCCCACTTGTAAACCGCTTCTTTTCCTTAGGCGGGCTGTATACAGCTACATTACTCATACATTTACTGCAAGAACTGCAGATTTAATGTATAATCTACATTTTATGTGCATTTTAAAAAAAAAAATTTTAATTATCAAATATTTTACCGTTAAATTCAACATGTGGAGTCCACATTGACTCGAACCCCTCCCACCAGTCAACATGTGACCTCAAAAGTTTATTTTACATTAAGAACTTGATGAAGTTTTGTGTAAGCATGGTATTAACATTCAACAATTATTTTACCATAATACTTAGTTAGATTTAGATGAAAATACGGTATGGATTCTCAAAAACTGGAGTCTGTATCGAGAGAAACAATTTATGGAGTAAACACATTGGTACCTCAGATGTATTGAATTCTTTCTTTAATATTGCACATATAAAGATTTTTTCGTATCTAAAAGCAACTTGTCCATTGTATGAATGTAGATGTTTGAGATTCGTTCGTATCTAAAAGCAACTTGTCCATTGTATGAATGTAGATGTTTAATCTGTTGACCTCAGGTGATGGCATCCACAACTTTAGTGATGGTTTGGCTATTGGTGCTTCATTTGCTAACAGTATCATAGGGGGAATGAGCACGTCTATAGCTGTGTTTTGTCATGAGCTGCCCCATGAGATAGGTGAGTACAGTTGTAACAGGGGGGGGGGGCTCACTAGTTAGGTGAGTACAGGGGGGGGGGGGCTCACTAGTTAGGTGAGTACAGGGGGGGCTCTCTAATTAGGTGAGTACAGGGGGGGCTCACTAGTTAGGTGAGTACAGGGGGGGCTCACTAATTAGGTGAGTACAGGGGGGGGGGCTCACTAGTTGAGTACAGGGGGGGCTCACTAGTTAGGTGAGTACAGGGGGGGCTCACTAGTTAGGTGAGTACAGGGGGGGCTCACTAATTAGGTGAGTACAGGGGGGGCTCACTAGTTGGGTGAGTACAGGGGGGGGCTCACTAGTTAGGTGAGTACAGGGGGGGGGGGGCTCACTAGTTAGGTGAGTACAGGGGGGGCTCACTAGTTAGGTGAGTACAGGGGGGGGGGCGGCTCATTAGTTAGGTGAGTACAGGGGGGGGGGGCTCACTAGTTAGGTGAGTACAGGGGGGGCTCTCTAATTAGGTGAGTACAGGGGGGGCTCACTAGTTAGGTGAGTACAGGGGGGGCTCACTAATTAGGTGAGTACAGGGGGGGGGGGCTCACTAGTTGAGTACAGGGGGGGCTCACTAGTTAGGTGAGTACAGGGGGGGCTCACTAGTTAGGTGAGTACAGGGGGGGCTCACTAATTAGGTGAGTACAGGGGGGGCTCACTAGTTGGGTGAGTACAGGGGGGGGCTCACTAGTTAGGTGAGTACAGGGGGGGGGGGGCGGCTCACTAGTTAGGTGAGTACAGGGGGGGCTCACTAGTTAGGTGAGTACAGGGGGGGGGGGGGGGCTCACTAGTTAGGTGAGTACAGGGGGGGGGGGGCATTTTGAGCTTGTACTTGAAGATTGTTATATGCTGGTCAGGTTTATAATTGGATAGAGCTTGTTTAAAAACATATGAACTCTTGCAGGTGACTTTGCTGTATTGCTGCGAGCAGGAATGACAGTCAAACAGGCTGTTCTGTACAACTGCCTGTCGTCCTTGCTGTGTCTGATTGGGATGGTCATTGGTGTTGCCATTGGCAACGTGGCTTCAGCCTCACTCTGGGTGTTTGCTATAGTGGGGGGAATGTTCTTGTATATTGCTCTAGTGGACATGGTGAGTCTGGCTTAGCTCTACTTGATACTCCCTCCCATCTCCACACATGTACCACCCCTCCCATCTTCACACATGTACCACCCCTCCCATCTCCACACATGTACCACCCCTCCCATCTCCACACATGTACCACCCCTCCCATCTCACATGTACCACCCCTCCCATCTCACATGTACCACCCCTCCCATCTCACATGTACCACCCCTCCCATCTCACATGTACCACCCCTCCCAGCTTCACACATGTACCACCCCTCCCATCTTCACACATGTACCACCCCTCCCATTTTCACACATGTACCACCCCTCCCATCTCACATGTACCACCCCTCCCATAACTTACTTCTTGCCTATTAATACTATTATATCAATATCTTTTGACACATTGATTTAAAACCCACACATAACTGTAAATTAAGCCCCACAACTAATATTAGTTTTAAGATATTTATTTATTGTAGAAAGATAATTACTTATTTTTAAAGAAGAAAAACTAAACAGAGAAGCAATAATGATATGTAAGAATCAGCAGTTGAGTTTAGATTAGGCAGCATTACAAATGAACATAAACACATAATACACCAACTTGAATTAAATGTTCTTTTTGCCATATGTAATTGATTAGTATGTTATTAAATTATGCATTTAATAAAAAGTATGGAGGAAAATGCCATAAAATTAAAATAATGACTTCCGCTAATTTCTAGATCTAGAATCTATTTTCAATTCTATACTAGGTAGGCCTCAATCGTTATCAATTACATACACTTCAGCAATTGTTGTTCATATTAATAATCTTTTAAATGCACTGAAAATTTAAAACAAACTTGCTTTTTTTAGTAACAGCATTGGTCACTCATGAGTTCAACTGACATGTTTTAGTGACCAATACTTTTCCTTAAGAAAGCAAGTTCAGTTAATTTTTTCATTCTCAGTCACATTAAAGCTTATTTGTATAAAGGTTGTTTTTTTTTTCACCATTTTTTAATTACATTTTTTTCAGCATCTGTTTATGGTTGTCATTTTTTTACTGTAAAATTTTTTTAAAAACTTTTCTTTACCAGCTACCTGAGATGAGCTCTGTTGATCCAAAGAAGGGAGAGAATCCATTCCTACATCTCCTGATCCAGGTGGCCGGCATTTTGCTGGGCTCTGGAATTATGCTGCTTATTGCCCTTTATGAGGACGAGATTAAAAAATCTTTTAGCTAAGGCTCACAACTGTGAAAACTTGCTGTTGGAATATTCTGGGGGGGGGGGGGGGGGGGATTCATCAACTTGTCTGCCATATATGATGACAACCTCAAATAACTTAGCCAGGACAGATTTGATTTAGTGTCAACAGTTGTTTTTCTTCAAATTCATTTGGGTGCTGGAAAACATGTTGAACATACAAGTTGGAAGTGTTGAACATACAAGTTGGAAGTGTTGAACATACAAGTTGGAAGTGTTGAACATACAAGTTGGAAGTGTTGAACACACAAGTTGGAAGTGTTGAACATACAAGTTGGAAGTGTTGAACATACAAGTTGGAAGTGTTGAACATACAAGTTGGAAGTGTTGAACATACAAGTTGGAAGTGTTGAACATACAAGTTGAACGTGTTGAACACACAAGTTGGAAGTGTTGAACATACAAGTTGAACTTGTTGAACACACAAGTTGGAAGTGTTGAACATACAAGTTGGACGTGTTGAACATACAAGTTGGAAGTGTTGAACATACAAGTTGGAAGTGTTGAACATACAAGTTGGAAGTGTTGAACATACAAGTTGGAAGTGTTGAACATACAAGTTGAACGTGTTGAACACACAAGTTGGAAGTGTTGAACATACAAGTTGGAAGTGTTGAACATACAAGTTGGAAGTGTTGAACATACAAGTTGGAAGTGTTGAACATACAAGTTGGAAGTGTTGAACATACAAGTTGGAAGTGTTGAACATACAAGTTGGACGTGTTGAACATACAAGTTGGACGTGTTGAACATACAAGTTGGAAGTGTTGAACATACAAGTTGGAAGTGTTGAACATACAAGTTGGACGTGTTGAACATACAAGTTGGACGTGTTGAACATACAAGTTGGACGTGTTGAACACACATGAAGCTCACCATTTGCCTTGGTCCTGGTCACTGATGTGGCCCCACCCGTCATCACCCCCACCCCTGTCATTACCCCCTCCCCTCTGCCATTCTTCTGTTCTCTCATTAGACCTGGGACTGGTATTTAGTTTGAGACTGTGTTCTTGGTATCTGCTTCTTTTATTGTATCAGTTGCCTTTTTTGTTTTCTTGAATCTCTATCGCCATCTTTTCACTCAGATAGGCTTGTCAGTATCTGTATGTTATCTTCAGATAGGCTTGTCAGTATCAGTATGTTATCTTCAGATAAGGTTGTCAGTATCAGTATGTTATCTTCAGATAAGGTTGTCAGTATCAGTATGTTATCTTCAGATAAGGTTGTCAGTATCAGTATGTAAACTTTTTTTGTTGGACCTGCCCACACAGGTTGGCAAACTGAAATCTGAACGAGCTGAAGTTTTGTGTCATCTTATGAGACTGATTTGTGTAGCAATAGAAATCTGTGGACATTAGACTAAAACCATTGGTCCCTTCATGTCACATGGACATTAGACTAAAACCATTGGTCCCTTCATGTCACATGGACATTAGACCACATGGCTCCTTACAGTTATATCAACAGCCAAAGCAGGAAAAATTTTGTGGGGGCTGGGCTGCTGTCAAAAAATTGTGTTGTCAGTTGTCCTGTGCAGGTGTGTTGTCCTGTCTACCTGTGCAGGTGTGTTGTCCTGTCTACCTGTGCAGGTGTGTTGTCCTGTCTACCTGTGCAGGTGTGTTGTCCTGTCTACCTGTGCAGGTGTGTTGTCCTGTCTACCTGTGCAGGTGTGTTGTCCTGTCTACCTGTGCAGGTGTGTTGTCCTGTCTACCTGTGCAGGTGTGTTGTCCTGTCTACCTGTGCAGGTGTGTTGTCCTGTCTACCTGTGCAGGTGTGTTGTCCTGTCTACCTGTGCAGGTGTGTTGTCCTGTCTACCTGTGCAGGTATGTTGTCCTGTCTTCCTGTGCAGGTGTGTTGTCCTGTCTACCTGTGCAGGTGTGTTGTCCTGTCTACCTGTGCAGGTGTGTTGTTAGTTGTCCTGTGCAGGTGTGTTGTCCTGTCTTCCTGTGCAGGTGTGTTGTCCTGTCTACCTGTGCAGGTGTGTTGTCCTGTCTACCTGTGCAGGTGTGTTGTCCTGTCTACCTGTGCAGGTGTGTTGTCCTGTCTACCTGTGCAGGTGTGTTGTCCTGTCTACCTGTGCAGGTGTGTTGTCCTGTCTACCTGTGCAGGTGTGTTGTCCTGTCTACCTGTGCAGGTGTGTTGTCCTGTCTACCTGTGCAGGTGTGTTGTCCTGTCTACCTGTGCAGGTGTGTTGTCCTGTCTACCTGTGCAGGTGTGTTGTCCTGTCTACCTGTGCAGGTGTGTTGTCCTGTCTACCTGTGCAGGTGTGTTGTCCTGTCTACCTGTGCAGGTGTGTTGTCCTGTCTACCTGTGCAGGTGTGTTGCCCTGTTTTCCTGTGGCTGAACTGACCTCTACTGCTGATGTTCCATTGAACCTGATGAAAATGTTTTCCCTCCCAGACTTATGCAACATGTTTCTTTTTATCAGCCACCTTGGCTCCCAAAACAATGCCAAGTTGGTTTTTAGTCATTTGATTTCTTTACTTGAAGAAGTTCATGAAAGTTTGTTTTGCTGTTGATCTGATAGTTTAGATTAATTGCTCTATTCTATCTACTGATAGTTTAGATATGATTAATTGCTCTATTCTATCTACTGATAGTTTAGATATGATTAATTGATCTATTCTATCTACTGATAGTTTAGATATGATTAATTGATCTATTCTATCTACTGATAGTTTAGATATGATTAATTGATCTATTCTATCTACTGATAGTTTAGATATGATTAATTGATCTATTCTATCTACTGATAGTTTAGATATGATTAATTGATTTTATTCTATCTAAAGATAGTTTAGATATGATTAATTGCTCTATTCTATCTACAGATAGTTTAGATATGATTAATTGCTCTATTCTATCTACAGATAGTTTAGATATGATTAATTGCTCTATTCTGTCTACTGATAGTTTAGATATGATTAATTGATCTATTCTATCTACTGATAGTTTAGATATGATTCAGGTGAGTCAGAATATCTTATGATAGGTTGTAACATCTTCCTGAACCTTATAACTGTATGCATTTATTCATGTATTTGTAAATAGAAAGTTCCAGTTGGCTCCTAGCTAGACATTACTTGCTGGGTTTGTGTACAGGTTTTCTTGATCAGCACAACTTAGGTCAGTTTACTGGACTCACTTGAACCTGCATTGGGTATGTTGGTCATACTGGTCAGTTGTTTTTTTTTTCAAGCCTCTCTGGGGGGGGGGTTCAAAGCAAGTCTCGCCCTGACACTGCCCTGCCATATTTTCTACAACGTTATGTGAAGTATGTCTTTACATAGAGTTAGGCGCAAGGTGTATTTTGTACCAAATTCAAATGGATTTTGTATCATTGTATAGGCCTACCTGTGTTCTAAATCCATTGGTCACTTGTTCTAAACCCATTGGTCACTTGCTCTAAACCCATTGGTCACTTGCTCTAAACCCATTGGTCACTTGCTCTAAACCCATTGGTCACTTGCTCTAAACCCATTGGTCACTTGCTCTAAACCCATTGGTCACTTGCTCTAAACCCATTGGTCACTTGCTCTAAATCCATTGGTCACTTGCTCTAAATCCATTGGTCACTTATTTGTATTGCTAGTGGGAAAGTTAATGATATAACTGGCCATCATTTAAGTTACTGACTCTGTTTATTGTATGTAGTTGATTTTTTTTGTTTTATTTCTCTATTGCAAAGTTTGATCTATGGAATGTAATCTATCATTAAATGTATTGAGAAAAGAGATTAAAAATAAAATCCTGGTATTAGTTACATGGTTTTATTTTATGTATGTGTTGTCATGTCCTACTGGTCAATGAGCTTGTCTTGTCCTGAATGTAAACATCGACTTGATCAGGTGGTCTAGTCAACTGTAGGTCAATGTGATGTCTGGTCAACTCTTGGTCAACATGCGATGTGTAGTCAACATATGATGTCTGGTCAACCCTAGGTCAACATGTGATGTCTGGTCAACTCTAGGTCAACATGTGATGTCTGGTCAACTCTAGGTCAACATGTGATGTGTAGTCAACATATGATGTCTAGTCAACTCTAGGTCAACATGTGATGTCTGGTCAACTCTAGGTCAACATGTGATGTGTAGTCAACATATGATGTCTAGTCAACTCTAGGTCAACATGTGATGTCTGGTCAACATGTGATGTGTAGTCAACATATGATGTCTAGTCAACTCTAGGTCAACATGTGATGTCTGGTCAACTCTAGGTCAACATGTGATGTCTGTTCAACTCTAGGTCAACATGTGATGTGTAGTCAACATATGATGTCTAGTCAACTCTAGGTCAACATGTGATGTCTGGTCAACTCTAGGTCAACATGTGATGTCTGGTCAACTCTAGGTCAACATGTGATGTGTAGTCAACATATGATGTCTAGTCAACTCTAGGTCAACATGTGATGTCTGGTCAACTCTAGGTCAACATGTGATGTCTGGTCAACTCTAGGTCAACATGTGATGTGTAGTCAACATATGATGTCTAGTCAACTCTAGGTCAACATGTGATGTCTGGTCAACTCTAGGTCAACATGTGATGTCTGGTCAACTCTAGGTCAACATATGTCTAGTCAACTGTAGGCCAACACTAACTGCTCCCTAACTCACCACATGTTATCTCCGACCGTTCTCTAGCGCTACCTATCGCCAACTCCTGACCCACGCTTCAGTGGTTATCTGACCGTCCCACGTGACCGGTCAGTTCCTGTATTTCTATTGTTCTAACTAACTACGCTATACTCTGTTTCTGCTAACTTCTACTTGACCTATCTGACGTAAACTTGTGTCATCACAGTAAGTTTCTGTGTGCGGTGACATTTGTGGGTGTGCTGCTGTGTACGGTGACATAAGTGGGTATGTTGGTGTGATGTGACATTTGTGGGTGTTGTGTGAGTTGACATTTGTGGGTATGGTATGTTGTGAGATGACATTTGTGGGTATGGTATGTTGTGAGTTGACATTTGTGGGTATGGTATGTTGTGAGATGACATTTCATCATTTGTGATTAAGTTGTATGAGGTGACTTGTGTCATCTGATGCACAAAACTATCAAGTTCCTTATCATAGGAGTTGTTGCTTGACTAGAGACTGACGATAGACAGTGACAGACTGACGATAGACCGTGACAGACTGACGATAGACCGTGACAGACTGACGATAGACCGTGACAGACCTACGATAGACCGTGACAGACTGACGATAGACAGTGTCAGACTGACGATAGACCATGACAGACTGACGATAGACCATGACAGACTGACGATAGACCATGACAGACTGACGATAGACCGTGGCAGACTGACGATAGACCGTGACAGACTGACGATAGACCATGACGATAGACCGTGACAGACTGACGATAGACCGTGACAGACTGACGATAGACCGTGACGATAGACCGTGACAGACTGACAATAGACCGTGACGATAGACCATGACGATAGACCATGACGATAGACCGTGACGGACTGACGATAGACCTTGACGGACTGACGATAGACAGTGACAGACTGACGATAGACCGTGATATTAGCGACCCTGGTCAAATGATAACTGACCGAGAAAAAATCCCTACTGCATAGTTTTCCCAGTCCGAACACAAGGCGAACTTGACTTACATACCCTTACATTACTTCCCCTGAATGAAGGGCCGCAGTTGTGTTGACTAACGGGCAAGGGAGGTAACCTGTTTAGTGTTTACAAGGATTGAACGGATTCAGTGGTTACGATGGGGTGAGTGTTTAAACTTGTTACAAAATTCGACTAGTCCATGGGTACATGGACGCTGATACTGATAGAGCGATAAATCCTGAGTGCTGTCTCGTATTGATGTCCACGTATACATACATATATATAGGCATATATATATATATATATATTGTTTGTTATTGTAATTCAGGCCACATTTCGTTTTAAAAATCCCCCCCCCCCCCATTTTTATCCATGAATTTGTCTTGACCTAGGGCGAGCCTGTCAACCCATCATTTGTAACATCGACGACTAAAACTTGTTCTGTTTTTTAATCTTAACAAAGTAAGCTGCATGTTTAGCCGATTTTATTTTACTAGGGGCAAATGTGTTTAGGTCTCTTACTTCTACGAATTTATAATTAGAATTATCGATTGCCAAGTGTTGGCTTTCTTCTTTCAATGAGATCACCTTCTTTCAACGTGTGGCAACACTATGTCAATGAGATCAACGGTAATTCAACGTGTGCCAACATTATGTAAGACCCGTTGAATGTATGTGTGTTCATACTTTGCTGCTAAGTGTAGGACTACACCTGATGACATACAGGAGGTGGGTGGGGGTGGGCATACAAAATCCAGTCAAACAACAGAGTAAACACAGAGCGGTGTATGACACCATGTCGACTGGACATGCGATGTCGACTGGACATACGATGTCGACTGGACATACGATGTCGACTGGACATACGATGTCGACTGGACATACGATCGGCATAAAAAAAAACCCACAACAATATGGCCGACAGATCATTAAGCCGACAAAGAAAAATATGAATTATTATTTTAAGACCTAGCCCCCTCTAGACAAATATGAATTATTATTTTAAGACCTAGCCCCCTTTAGAAAAATATGAATTATTATTTTAAGACCTAGCCACCTCTAGACAAATATGAATTATTATTTTAAGACCTAGCCCCCTTTAGAAAAATATGAATTATTATTTTAAGACCTAGCCCCCTCTATAGCGACGAGAAGAAACGAAGGCCGCGAGATCGCCGATTGTTTAATTTTAAATCGACCAATCGGAAACAAGATATTCCACAATAAGAAGCGCCACAATAAGATCATTGGTTATGGCCCACAATAAGATCATTGGTTATGGCCCACAATAAGATCATTGGTTATAGCCCAAAATAAGATCATTGGTTATGGCCCACAATAAGATCATAGGTTATGGCCCACAATAAGATCATAGGTTATGGCCCACAATAAGATCATTGGTTATGGCCCACAATAAGATCCTTGGTTATGGCCCACTATAAGATCATTGGTTATGGCCCACAATAAGATCATTGGTTATGGCCCACAATAAGATCCTTGGTTATGGCCCACTATAAGATCATTGGTTATGGCCCACAATAAGATCATTGGTTATGGCCCACAATAAGATCAGCGGTTACGGCCCACAATAAGATTATAGGTTATGGCCCACAATAAGATCATAGGTTATGGCCCACAATAAAATCATTTGTTATGGCCCACAATAAGATCATTGGTTATGGCCCACAATAAGATCCTTGGTTATGGCCCACAATAAGATCATAGGTTATGGCCCACAATAAAATCATTTGTTATGGCCCACAATAAAATCATTTGTTATGGCCCACAATAAGATCATTGGTTATGGCCCACAATAAGATCCTTGGTTATGGCCCACAATAAGATCATAGGTTATGGCCCACAATAAAATCATTTGTTATGGCCCACAATAAGCTCATTGGTTATGGCCCACAATAAGATCCTTGGTTATGGCCCACAATAAGATCATAGGTTATGGCCCACAATAAAATCATAGGTTATGGCCCATAATTAAATCTTTGGTTGTGGCCCACAATAAGATTATTGGTTATGGCCAACAAAAAGATCATAGGTTATGGCCCACAATAAGATCATAGGTTATGGCCCACAATAAGATCATTGGTTATGGCCCACAATAAGATAATTGGTTATGGCCCACAATAAGATCATTGGTTATGGCCCACAATAAGATCATAGGTTATGGCCCACAATAAGATCATAGGTTATGGCCCACAATAAGATCATAGGTTATGGCCCACAATAAGATCATAGGTTATGGCCCACAATAAGATCATAGGTTATGGCCCACAATAAGATGGCCCACAATAAGATGGCCCACAATAAGATCATAGGTTATGGCCCACAATAAGATCATATGTTTTGGCCCACAATAAGATCAGTGGTTATGGCCCACAATAAGATCATTGGTTATGGCCCACAATAAGATCATAGGTTATGGCCCACAGAGAGATCATAGGTTATGGCCCACAATAAGATCATAGGTTATGGCCCAAAATAAGATCACAGGTTATGGCCCTCAATAAGATCATAGGTTATGGCCCACAATAAGATCATAGGATATGGCCCACAATAAGATGGCCCACAATAAGATGGCCCACAATAAGATCATAGGTTATGGCCCACAATAAGATCATATGTTATGGCCCACAATAAGATCAGTGGTTATGGCCCACAATAAGATCATATGTTATGGCCCACAATAAGATCATAGGTTATGGCCCACAATAAAATCATAGGTTATGGCCCATAATTAGATCATTGGTTATGGCCCACAATAAGATTATTGGTTAAGCCCCACAATAATATCTTTGGTTATTGCCCACAATAAGATCATTGGTTATGGCCCGCAATAAAATCATTGGTTATGGCCCACAATAAGATCATAGGTTATGGCCCACAATAAGATCATAGGTTATGGCCCACAATAAGATGGCCCACAATAATATCATTGGTTATGGCCCACAATAAGATCATTGGTTATGGCCCTCAATAAGATCATTGGTTATGGCCCACAATAAGATCATAGGTTATGGCCCACAATAAGATCATAGGTTATGGCCCACAATAAGATCATAGGTTATGGCCCACAATAAGATCATAGGTTATGGCCCACAATAAGATCATTTGTTATGGCCCACAATAAGATCATAGGTTATGGCCCACAATAAGATGGCCCACAATAAGATGGCCCACAATAAGATCATAGGTTATGGCCCACAATAAGATCATAGGTTATGGCCCACAATAAGATCATATGTTATGGCCCACAATAAGATCAGTGGTTATGGCCCACAATAAGATCATAGGTTATGGCCCACAATAAGATCATAGGTTATGGCCCACAATAAGATCATATGGTTATGGCCCACAATAAGTTCATAGGTTATGGCCCACAATAAGATGGCCCACAATAAGATGGCCCACAATAAGATCATAGGTTATGGCCCACAATAAGATCGTAGGTTATGGCCCACAATAAGATCATTGGTTATGGCCAACAATAAGATTATAGGTTATGGCCCACAATAAGATCCTTGGTTATGGCCCACAATAAGATCATTGGTTATGGCCCACAATAAGATTATAGGTTATGGACCATAATAAAATCATTGGTTATGGCCCACAATAATATGGCCCACAATAAGATCATTGGTTATGGCCCACAATAAGATTATTGGTTATGGCCCACAATAAGATCATAGGTTATGGCCCACATTAAGATCATTGGTTATGGCCCAGAATAAGATGGCCCACAACAAGATCATTGGTTATGGCTCACAATAAGATCAGCGGTTACGACCCACAATAAGATCATTGGTTATGGCCCACAATAAGATCATTGATTATGGCCCACAATAAGATCAGCGGTTACGACCCACAATAAGATCATTGGTTATAGCCCACAATAAGATCATTGATTATGGCCCACAATAAGATCATTGGTTATGGCCCACAATAAGATCATAGGTTATGGCCCACAATAAGATCAGCGGATACGGACCACAATAAGATCATTGGTTATGGCCCACAATAAGATCATAGGTTATGGCCCACAATAAGATCATAGGTTATGGCCCACAATAAGATCATTGGTTATGGCCCACAATAAGATCAAAGGTTATGGCCCAACTATAAGATGGCCCACAATAAGATCATAGGTTATGGCCCACAATAAGATAATAGGTTATGGCCCACAATAAGATCATTGGTTATGGCCAACAATAAGATCATTGGTTATGGCCCACAATAAGTTGGCCCACAATAAGATGGCCCACAATAAGATCATAGGTTATGGCCCACAATAAGATCATAGGTTATTGCCCACAATAAGATCACAATAAGATCATAGGTTATGGCCCACAATAAGATCATAGGTTATGACCCACAATAAGATCATTGGTTATGGCCCACAATAAGATCATAGGTTATGGCCCACAATAAGATCATAGGTTATTGCCCACAATAAGATCATTGGTTATGGCCCACAATAAGTTCATAGGTTATGGCCCACAATAAGATGGCCCACAATAAGATGGCCCACAATAAGATCATAGGTTATGGCCCACAATAAGATCATAGGTTATGGCCCACAATAAGAACATTGGTTATGGCCCACAATAAGATCATTGGTTTTGGCCCACAATAAGATGGCCCACAATAAGATGGCCCACAAAAAGATTATTGGTTATGGCTCACAATAAGATCATAGGTTATGGCCCACAATAAGATCTTAGGTTATGGCCCACAATAAGATGGCCCACAACAAGATCATTGGTTATGGCCCACAATAAGATGAGCGGTTACGACCCACAATAAGATCATTGGTTATGGCCCACAATAAGATCATTGGTTATGGCCCACAATAAGATCATTGGTTATGGCCCACAATAAGATCATAGGTTATGGCCCACAATAAGATCATTGGTTATAGCCCACAATAAGATCATTGGTTATGGCCCACAATAATATCATAGGTTATGGCCCACAATAAGATCAGCGGTTACGGCCCACAATAAGATCATAGGTTATGGCCCACAATAAGATCATTGGTTATGGCCCACAATAAGATCATAGGTTATGGCCCACAATAAGATCCTTGGTTATGGCCCAAAATAAGATCATAGGTTATGGCCCACAATAAGATCATATGTTACGGCCCACAA